GAAGACCATGACCGAGCGCCTGCGCAGTCGCTACTACGTGACCCGGAAGCTCTTCGTGGCCGACCTGCAGCGGGTCATTGCAAACTGCCGCGAGTACAACCCGCCGGACAGCGAGTACTGCCGCTGCGCCAGCGCGCTGGAGAAGTTCTTCTACTTCAAGCTCAAGGAGGGGGGGCTCATCGACAAGTAGCCACCGCCCCCCCCCCGGCCTGGAGGAGGGGCCCGGCCTCCGCAGCGGCCCCGCCAGCCTCGAGGAGGGGCCCGGCCTCCCGGCTCCCACCCAGCCTCCAGCGCCGCCGCTTCAGACCTCCCCACCTCCCCGGCCCGCAGACACCTCCAGGCCCGAAGCTCCGTCCCTTGCGTCCCACCTCGGGGAGGACACCTCCCGGTCCCAGCCCAGCCCCAGTGGCTGGCCAGAGGGTGAACTGCCGGGCCCTGGCGGCCCCCAGTCCGGGTCCTCAAGGAACTATGGCGCCTGGCCGGGCCCGGGTGCCTGACTCCCCAAGGGCTGGGACTGCTGCTTGCAGCTTTGGCGCGGGCTTCTGGGGCTGGAAGCGTAGCCCGTCCGGAGGGGTCGAGGCTCACCCTGCACTGTTCTGGCGGTCTGTCTCCCAGGGGCTGAGGGGGGACTTAGGGACCACGCATTCCTTGGCATTAATCCCTCAGAGGGAACAATAAAGCTCTTTCTTTTTTTTTTTTTTTCCTCCCCCTTTGTGTGATTGTTTCTTCCCTGTAGTTCCAGACTCAGGAGGCCACCTTGAGTCCATTAAGCTTCAAGCTGTCCTGTCTTGCTCCCAGAGAGATAGACCTGCCTGATTGCAGACCTCCTCTCTCCAGGCTGTTCTCGGTCCAGAAACCAGAGGCAGCCAAGATCCTAACCTCCACCTTAACCTGGCTGAGAAAAGGGACCTAGGGTAGAGAGGTGCCAGGAGCAAAGGATGCACCTTTGGATGATGTGTAGCCCTGCCCCTTGCTGGGGCTTTTATTACAAAGGGTTGAGCTCCACCCTCGCTGGCCCTGCCCCTAAGTTTCAGTTTCCTTTTCTCAGCTGCCAGACTTTTCGAAAAACAAGACCTGAAACCCCGGCTGGGCGGGGTAAAGAGTAGCTTGTTACTCCTGGCTCCCAGTGGGGTCTGCAGTGTGTCCTTCCCTACCTCCCGCAAGTGGGTTGGAGTCCTGGGCAAAGGGAAATCTACACTGTGGCCAGGGGTTCTGAGCCCCCTGCTGTTCCAGAATGGAGCTGCGCCCCTACCAATGGGAGGTGATCATGCCTGCCCTGGAGGGCAAGAATGTCATCATATGGCTGCCCACAGGCGCCGGCAAGACCCGGGCAGCCGCGTATGTGGCCAAGAGGCATTTAGAGACAGTGGATGGAGCCAAGGTGGTGGTACTGGTCAACAGGGTGAGTGGTCTGCCCTTTCCACAGCAGTGCCTCAGCTCTCTTGAGGCATCATGTAGGTCCCTCCAGAGCACTCAGAGCTTCTAAACTCACCTGACTTTTCACCCTAATCTTCCAACCCTAGGTGCACCTGGTGACCCAGCATGGTGAGGAGTTCAGCCGGATGCTGGGTGGACGCTGGACCATGACAACCCTGAGTGGGGACATGGGCCCACGAGCTGGTTTTGGCCATGTGGTCCGGTCCCACCACCTGCTCATCTGCACAGCTGAGCTGCTGCAGATGGCGCTGACTAGTTCTGATGTGGAGGAGCATGTGGAACTCACAGGTGAGGGTTGTGAGCTGGGGAAAGCATATACCTCAGGTATAGATGAAGAATAGACCTGGCTACAGGGCAGGATCCTGGGGTAAATCCCTTCAGCTTCTCTCTGTTTACTGATCTATAAATGAGCGATATCATCCTTGCCTCACTCCTGTGGAAACAGGGTACAAATTATGAAGGGAAAAAGTCAGATGAGGCTGGGCACTGGTGGCTTATTCCTGTAAACCTAGCCACTCAGGAAGCTGAGATCTAAGAATCCAGGTTCGAAACCAGCCAGAACAGTTAAGTGTGTGAGACTCTTTATTTCCAATTAACTACCTGAAAGTGGAGTTGTGAAAAAAGCCAAGCAAGAGCATGAGGCCCTGAGTTTAGCCCTAATATTAGTGTATTGTGTGTGTGTGACAAAATTGTCAAATGGATACAAAGACTATATGGGACACAGTAAATGGGAGGAAAACTGTGCAAACACAGGTTAACAGCCTTCCCCTATGTTCCCTCAGCCTTCTCCCTGATCGTGGTGGATGAGTGTCACCACACACACAAGGAAACAGTCTACAATGTCATCCTGAACCGGTACCTAGAGCATAAACTACAGAGGGCTCGGCCCCTACCCCAGATTCTGGGACTTACAGCCTCTCCGGGCACTGGCGGGGCCTCCAAGCTCGATGGGGCCATTAACCACATTCTGCAGGTCAGCTTAGCCCCTGTGGCCTTCCAGCCACCATTCCCTCCAGAGACCTCCCTGACTGCCTCCCTCTGTCCCATCCCCACCAGCCCTTGAGAGCACCCTGACTCCTTATCAGGAGTTCTTTTCACCCAAGGTCTATCTAGCATCCTAACAGCTTCTTGTGGCACTTAAACTCACTTGTTGGTTTAAATCTAGCTCCTGCCTGTTTCTCACACCATCCCTTTTACTCATACTATTCCTACACTGGTCTTTTCCTCTACCTCGAACATACTGGGTTCTCTTCTCCAGATCCTTGCACTTGCCATTCCTTTTGCTTGAAATCCTTCCCCCAAATAATACAGCACCTGCCTAGCAAGTATAAGGCCCTGAGTTTGAACCCCAGTGCCACCAAGGGGGGGAGGAGGTTGTGAACGCAAGAGAAAAGAGAGGGGGGGGGCCCTTTCTCTTAAACTTCCCTTATCTGATTGCCATTCATTGAATAGTTTTATGTCAGATTTTCATTCTTCCCTACTTATTGCCTCTGTCCTATCATCCAGTTTTAGTCTTTTCGGAGCTCATTCATACTACTTGAAATGCTCTCATTCTCTTATTCTCCAACTCCAATGGAACTCCCTCTGTGTCCCTAGTGCCTATAATACTAACACTGGGGAGAAGGCAAGCAGGACTCACTATTTGAAGAAATGAATCCCTCCCCTCCCTGGTCCTGTTTCAGGCTCTCTGGTCCTTAGCTAGGTGCCATTCTGCCTCAAAGTTCTGCCCGTGGTCCCCACAGGCCCCTCCCCTTTCTAGTGAAGCTCTCTCTGTTGCTCCCAGCTCTGTGCCAACTTGGATACATGGCGCATCATGTCACCTGAGCAGTACCACCCCCAGCTACAGGAGCACAATCCCAAGCCCTGCAAGCAGTATGACCTCTGCCAGAGGCGCAGCCAGGTATATGCATGGGAAAGAGGCACGGGGCAGGCATGAGGCATGGGGCCATGGTGTGGAGTGAGGGAACCTAGGCTTGGACACTGGCCCCACCCTCACTGTGACTCCAGGTTTCTTGCTTATACCTCTGCGTCTCCATTTCTCTCTCTCTCTTTCTCTCTCTCTCTCTGTCATTATGGGGCTTGAACTCTGGACCTGGGTTCTGTCCCTCAGTTCTTCAGCTCAAAGTGAGCGCTCTACCACTTGAACCACAGCGCCACTTCTGTTTTTCTGGTGGTTTATTGGAGAGTCTCATGGAGTTTCTTCCCCAGGCTGGCTTTGAAATCTGATCCTCAGATCTCAGCCTCTTGAGTAGCTAGGATTACAGGTGTGAGCCACCAGTGCCTGGCTCCATTTCTCTTTTTTTGTGTGTAAGGGGTAGATATAGCTCGTGTCTACAACCTATGGGTCTCTGTTGTAGAAGTTGGTATGATGTGAGTCCTTTGCCAACCATGAGGCTGGGACACTGTGCTAGGACTGTATCAAGTTCTCTCCTTCTGTGGTGATACTTATATTTGTCTGGTAGAAGAGACAGCAGGAACTGGGTATGGGAACCAGGTCCGTCTCTAGCTAGGACTCCATCACACCCCAGCTGGCCTCCTTCTGGAGCCCTCACCTCTCAGACACAACAGATAGAGGCCCCATCCCTCCAATATGATGACAATCCCCCCCACACCTCCACTCCTCTTGTCCAGGACCCATTTGGAGACTTGATAAAGAAGCTCATGAAACAAGTTCATGACCGCCTGGGGATGCCTGAGTTGGGCCAGGACTTTGGGACACAGATGTATGAGCAGCAGGTGGTAGAGCTGAGCAAGGATGGTAAGAGGGACTGCTTAGGCAGATGGTGAGGTTTCTGGGGGTGGGGGGTGAGGGGTGGGCACTGCGTGGATGGAGGAGGAATCATTAGGGGTGAAGACTGTCTGCTCAGAGTTTTGCCAGGAGTTGGGTGCACAGGGTGGAGCCTGGGGTCACCCTGTTCTGACCCTGTGCCCCGCCCCATCCCACCTGCAGCGGCTGAGGCAGGACTTCAGGAGAGGCGGGTGTATGCGCTACACCTTCGAAGGTACAATGATGCCCTGCTCATCCATGACACTGTCCGTGCCCTGGACGCTCTGACCATGCTGCAGGACTTCTACAATAGGGAGCGTGCCACTAAAACCCAGATCCTGTATGCTGAGCATTGGCTGCTGGAACTGTTCAATGGTGAGGCAAAATCAGGGCTCAGAACTGGGTGAGGAGGCCTCAGAGTTAGCCAGGGCATAGGGGCCAACGTGGACTGAGAAGGTAACAATGGAGTTCTTGGGACCATATTTCAAATCCAAGAGTGTAGGTACAGGTTTCTTTGTGTGTCAGTACTGAGTCTTGAACTCAGGGTCTGGGCACTGTCCTTTTGCTTTTATTTATTTATTTATTTGTTTATTCGTCAGTCATGGGGCCTGAACTCTGGGCCTGGGCGCTGTCCCTCAGCTCTTCAGCTCAAGGCAAGGGCTCTACCACTTGAGCCACAGTGCCACTTCTGGCTTGTCCTTTAGCTTTATGTTCAGGGCTAGCACTCTATCACTCAAGCCACATCTACTTACAGCTTTTTTGCTGGTAAATTGGCGATACAATCTCTTGGATTTGTCTGTCTGGGATGGCTTTGAACCTTGATTCTCAGATCTCAGCCTCCTGAGCCACAGCATTTGGTCTAGCCTAACAGATTTACTTCCTTATTTGTAAAGTGTGCACAGTTACAAAAAAATTAATACATGTTATTGACAAATACATTTTCATTTTTAAAAGATTTCTTAAAATATTTTTTACAGGGGCTGGGAAGGTGGCTCAGTGATTGAGTGCTTGCCTTGCATGCATGAGGCCCTGGGTTCGATTCCTCATCACCACATAGCAGAAAAAGCCAGAAGTGGCACTGTGGCTCAAGTGGTAGAGCACTAGCTTTGAGCTGAAGAGCTCAGGGACAGCGCCCAGGCCCAGGCCCAGAGTTCAAGCCCCACGACAGACCAAAAACAAAACAAAACAAAATTTTCATAACTGAGTGCCGGTGACTCACGCCTGTAATCCTAGCTATTCTGGAGACTTGAGATATGAGGATTGTGGTTCAAAGCTAGCTCAGGCAGGAAAGGCCATGAAACTATTATCTCCAATAAACCACCAAAAAACCAGAAGTGGTGCTGTGGCTCAAGTGGTAGTGCACTAGCCTTGAGCTGAAGAGCTGAGGGACAGCGCCCTAAGACAGACAAAAAAAAGTGTGTGTGTGTGTATATATATATATGTATGTATGTATATATATATATATGTATATATATATATTCATAGTGGTCCCCA